AAAATTTAAATATATATAAAACTATTTTGATTTAACTATAAGGGTTCTATGTACTGAATTTAAAGATTTTTGTAAATATTTAACTATTAATTTTTCAATACAAGATTCACAGAAAATATGTTTACAAAATAATGATTCAACATCTAATTTTAAAAAATCAAAAGGATTTACAAATATAAAAGGTTCTTTTTTACAATGAATTACATCACAAAATTGATTCAAAATATCACATTCATAATAAAACTTATATCCTCGACATTGATCACATTTCTTTTTTAAAATATGATCTATAAATTTTTTTTTATATAAATAAATATAATGCTTTTGTAATTTACTATAAGCAACTCCAAATTTGTTATATAAAATTTTCACTTTTTGTAATTCCCCTTTTTTATAATTCTTACAGTTTTGAATATTATTAATGAAATTATGATGATGATACTTTTTATATTGTTTACATCTATCACACAAATGTGTTTTACCTTTAAAATAAACAAAATTTCCATCAAAATGATTAATTTCATAAAACAATAAAGATTGTCTAAATGGGTTGTTACTTTTTTTAGAATGATAAAAAATATATTAATTGGATCTAAACTGTTTCTTTGTTTAAGATGTAAAATATATAATTGATAGAAATTTTTTGATATTATTTTAACATTTTCACATTGACGAAGTGAAAGAAAAATAAAAATATAAAATAAAAGATCTGGAATATTTAATAAATTCATTTTGATACTTTATTTAAATGTAGTAAGCTATTTATATAATTTTATTAATAATAAATAATAAAAATAATAAAATAATAAAAAAAATAATAATTATTATTTTTTATTATCAAAAACTTCTATAATTTCAAATTTTGTTTCTTCACTACTTTCATTATTTTCAATATTATATTCAAGTAATTTAATTTTAACTTTTTCCATTCTTTTAAATGACATATCGCATGAGAATATAAAGTTTGTAACCAAAAAAAAGCTTTGTTATCAATTTCAAATATGAAATCTTCATGCCAAGAAATTATCCATCCTTCAAACCCATCAATTTTTTTTACTTCTTTTTCTAATTTTTTAAATCTTGAACAAACAAAACATTTAATATTTTTAGGAACATTTTCAAGAGGATAATTATTATCATCAACAATATAAAATTGCATAAGATTAATATCAAATTTTTTCATTTTTAATTCAATATTTGGATAGTTCTTATTTATAAATTTAATATTAGGAGCTTTTTTACTATATGAAAGATAACTATTATATTTATAATACTGTTTTAACATTTTATATTAATAAGAAAGAAAAAAAAATTAATATGAAAAAAATCTAAAATATTTAACAAATTTGTTTAATACTTTAATGTAATATAACAAGCTATTTATATTTTATTTAATTAATAAAAATTTTTTTTAATTTGACTTAGAGAAATTAAAAATTATATAAAGTTAACTAAAGTCCTATAATTGGAAGTTTAAAAATGTATTCACTTGAGGAAGAAACTGAAAAATCACCTGGGAAAAAATATTTGATTCATTTGAAGTTCTATCAGCATGGACCAAACTTCCAATTGTTAAATCTTATCATAAATCAAATAGTTATCGAATAGTTGAAATCGATGCAACATTGTTTCTTGAAATATTAACACAAAAACTAGAGATCACATTCTTAACTGATCTTGAAAATTTTGATTTAATTAAAAATTATACTTGGTATTATTATAAATGTGAAAACACATCTTATATTAAAACAAGGATTAATAAAAGTAAACATAATAAATTTCATTGAATGATTTGTCCAAAATAAAAAATGATTGATCATATTAACAGAATTGGAATGGATAATCGTAAATGTAACTTACGAGAAACAACTCCACATCTAAATAATTTAAATCGTAAATTACAAAAAAACAATACATCTGGCTATAATGGAATTACATATAATAAAAAAATGAATGTATAGAGATTTTGTTAGAATGAAAATAATAAAGAAAAAACAAAATAGTTTTATATTACAAGAAAAAGATCTAATGGATAAGCAAAACAACAAGCAATTAATTTTAAATTAGAACATGATAAGAAAACTGATAATCGAAATGGTTATAAAATTTAATTAAATTTTAAATATTTAATAAATTTATATTTATACATTGTTTATAATAAATAAATGCCATTT